TGAAGTTCAAACTCTGCCTAACCATTTCCCAGGCAGGTTGTCCCGGACATGCAGTGCTTGGTGGTATGGTTGGCAGTGAGGCCAAGTCTGTAAATGTGCAGTCTCTGGCTCCTGCTTTACCTCCACATCCCTGCTCACAGCATGCTTTGAGTTCCTCATTCCCTATCTGATCCTTAGTGTTTTCTTCTGTAAAATGGACTATGTAAGGTGATTTATGTATACTATTCCAGCAGCCTCTTTCTGTTCTCCCTCTTCTTATTTAATACTTACGAGTGTTTTTCCTGAATATAAGTGTACCATATGTGTGCCCTCGGAGGCCAGGATAGGGTGTCAGATCCCCTAGACCTGGAATTACTGGAGCCAGTGCTCTTAACCTGCAAAGCCATCTCTCTAGTCCCTTGTTCTCCCTCTTATTAGCCTGTTCGTTTGTATTTGGTTTTTTTTAGTTGGTGGTTTTTGGATTTTTTTATCTTATTTGAGATAGGGTCTCACTATGTGTCCCCTGGCTGTCCTGGGACTTACTGTGTAGAGCAGGCTGCCCTCTAATTCAGAAATCTGCCTGCTTCTGCTGGGATTAAAGACATTTACCTTGCCTGCTTATTTTGTTTTTGAGGGTAGCCCTCATGGGACCCAGGCCTGCCTCAAACTCTATTTAGTCAAGGACAATCCTCCTCCTTCTACCTCCCTGGGGTACACCACCAATCTTGGTTTTATGCTTACCACACCTGTTTTGTTTGGGTGGTTTGGTTTTTTTGTGGGGTTTTTTTTTTTTTTTTTGCTGTTGTTGGTCTTTTTGAGACAGGACCTCCCTGTAGCCCCAGCTGACCTGGAACTCTATAGACCAGGCTGGCCTTGAACTCACAGAGCTCCACCTGCCTCTAAACGCACGCATTACTACTCCAGCACCACACCTGTTTTTATGCAGTGCTGGGGATCAAACTCAGGACTTCATTCATGGTTTAAAGGATGGTGGCCTGGCATCTTCCTGGTGTGTTCCAAGTGTGTCTGGGTTCAGATGAGGTAGGTTGGAAAGGCTCTGCCAGCTGCTTTGGGGTGTGTTCACTCATTCCACAGACATGTGTTTGTACTTACTGTGTACCAGGCACTGTGCCAGGGCCTGGGAATACAGCAGGGAACAAGACTGTCCAAGATTCCTGCTCTTGGGACAGACTAGCAAAAAATAAAAATAAATGAGTGAAACCTTCCATGTGTGAGGAGTGCACGAGCTGTGGAGGAAAAGCTAGGACAGAGAACGGGGAGGGCATGGGGTTTTAACAGAGTTCTAGGCAGGATCTTCGTGACCAGATGTTATCCAAGGGGCCTCACAAAGAGAGGGAGCCAGGCTGGTGCCCCAACATACACCTTTTTAATCCAGCAATTTCATTCATATAGAAAAGTACACAGTGGGGCTGGAGAGATGGCTCAGTGGTTAAGAGCACTAGCTGCTCTTGCAGAAGACCAGGTTTTGAATCCCAGCACCCACATGGCGGCTAACGCCCACCCATAACACCAGTTCCAGGGGATCTGACGCCCTCTTCTGTCCTCACTGGGCATTGCATAACACAGGTGCACATAATAACGTAGGCAACACACTCATACACAGAAAATAATAATAAAGTACACATACAGGGCTGGGGATATAGCTCTGCTGGTAGAGTGCTTGTCTAGCATGCATGGTACTTTGGGTTCCATATCCATCACCCACATACACAGGGCAGATGTGGTGGCACCCACCTATCATCCCAACACTCAGAGAAAGAGGCAGGAAGATCAGGAGTTCTAGGTCCTCAGCTACTTAGTGAATTGGAGGCCAGCCTGGGATACATGAAGCCCTGTCTCCAAAATAGGAAATACATATAAAAGTCTATAATTCAGTGTTCACCATCTGAAGCCACCCAGTGGAACCCACACACAGATCCAGAAACAGCATTACCCACCCGCCTCAGCGCCCCTTCTATTTGGAAGGGGCTGCAGCATCAACTCTAGAATATGAGAGGAAACAAGGGCTAAAAATGACTCTAGGAAATCAGCCTCAGCACTTTCTGAGTCAACCAAGTCATTGGCTAAGGGAGAAGCTGGGGGGGGGGGATAGGGCAGTGAATGGGTTTGGGTGACCAGCAGGGTCCATTCTATTGTGCTGGCCTGAGCACTGTGGCCCTCTCGAGCTTGATAGGTACAGGGCATGCCAGTCTGGATTTGCAGGAGAGAAGCTGATGCATAAGTTGCCAGCCCACAGCCAGTATTTGCAGCCAGAAGCCTGGATGAGTACACCTAGGAACCCAGCCCTGGGGCTCCGCAGTATTTTTAGGCAGACTGGGGGTAACGCTAACGTGATGAGACAGGAGTGCGGACTTGATAGAGTTCAAGAAGAGACAGTGCAGCAGCTGGAGGGTGGGGCAGGGGACTGAGGCTTAACTGTACTTACTGTTGCAACTTGAAGGTCTGAATTGGTGGATTAGTAGGGGGATCCCTGGGTCCTTCCTGAGGCCGAAGCCTACTACCTGTTTCTTACCCCACTCAGCAGGACCATTGAACTCAGCCTGTGGCCTAGCTGTGTCTGTCTCTAGGCCAAGGAGGTCCTGATCCAGAGTGGACACCCCTCCTCCTCCACAGACCCTGGATGACTGTACTCAGCTTGGGTCCTAAAGGGGCCTGGAGGACCAGAGGTAGGGACAGAGAGTGCAGACAGGGCTTTCTAGGGGTTTGGTGTACAGGAAGAAAATTGAGGCAGTGCCTGTAAGAAGTAAGTGGGGTCAGGAGAGAATATATTCATGTAGCCTGACTTGATGGTACACTCCCGTAATCCTAGTACTTGGGAGGCTGAGGCAGCGGGATCATTAAGTTTGAAGCCAACCGTGATTTCACAGTGAAATCCTGTCTCACCATTCCTTGTTCCCTTCCCATAAAAAAGAGCATTAGAGACATCAGAGCAGGTAAGCCAAGTAGCTCATTGTGGCTGTGTGGGAACAGAGGGGGACCACTCGGTAGGCCTGGGCCCTCCATGGGACAGGACTCCCAGGTAGGACCTCGAGTCCTTCTCTGTGTCACCAAAGCTCACCAGGTGGTTCCAGGCTCCTCCTGAGAGCTCTCCCCATTGCTTACCCCTTACCCCACTCAGCAGGACCAGCAGACTTAGGCTCAGTCTGTGCTTTGGCCATACCTGTCTCAGCACACTAAGGCCAAGGGAGCCTCATCCTAGCTGAACACCCCTGCTGCTCCTCAGGCCCTGAATAACCAAGCCTGCAGCCTCCATGGCTCTCTGCTGGTAGACCCACCCTCAGCTGTAGAGCCCCACACCCATGCCTTCAGGGACTATGAGGTTTCTGGCTGAGGTATCTAATTTGATAACCACTCCCTGTTACATCTGCATCTCGCACATGTGAACACATGTGTGCACACACCCCAACCTCCCTTGAAAGGGTGCACTGTGGATCTGAGGAAAGCCCTCCCAGGCCCAGATCCCACCCCAAAGCCTGCGTGTCTGGGCCCTGGACGCAGCCCTTTCACTTCATCTGTCCCTCAGCTGGCAGGAGGCGGTTCCCTGGCACAGTCCACATCTACTAGAGTTAGTCCCTGTGTCCTGGAGGATCTTTAGTGTACAATACATTGTCTCTCCCAGTTATGTTTGCCCTGATGTCCCTTCTAGGAATAAATATGCCTTTTTTTTTTTTTTTTTCCAAGACGGGTCTCACCATGTAGCTCTGGCTAACCTGGAACTTGCTGTATAGACCAGGCTGGCCTCAGACTCAAAGAGATCTGCCTGCCTCTGCCTCCCGATTGATGGGATTAAAGATGTGTGTCACCATGCCTAGTGTCTACTTTTTATTTTGAGACAGGGTCTCATGTAGCCCAGTATTGCCTCAGATTTGCTATGTAGCCAATGATGACCTTGGATTTCTGATCCTTTTGGCTCTACTTCCTGAGTGCTGAGATGACAGGTGGGATGACAGGTGTGTACCACTATGCCCAATTTATGCTGTGGAACCCAGGGCTTGATACATGCTAAGCAAGCACTCCACCAACTTACCTACAGCTCTAGGTTTGCTTTCTAATGAGCTGCCCCAGCTGAAAGGAAGTGTGTACTGGCTGGATAGAGACCCTCTCTTCCTGTCACTACCACGAGGCCAGCTCTCAGGCAGGGTGAGGAGGAGTCTGTGAAGAGGTGCATGCACACAGCCATTGGGACCCTCCCTTGAACCAAAGACTTGCCTAGGAACATGCTGTAGCTTAGTAGGGCAATCCTGACTGCAGGTGGGTGATGACAGCTCTGTCCTGGATGTAGCCAGAACACACATCCCTATTCTTCATGGACCTGTCAGTGCCAGAGGTGAATGAGGGCTTGTTTGCCTGCTGCAGCTGGAAAGGGGAATGGAGAGGAGGAAGCATTTTGCTTCCTGTCACTTAAAGCACCAGATGCAGATGGTCATAGGTACTAACCTTACTGAATGTTGACCTATCCCATGCCCTGAACAAAACCACAGTGACGATAATAACTGCTCATCTGTGTCCCTTCCCATGTGCTGCATGCTACCCAGGTCCTGACCCTGAATGCTCTCACTTCCTACTTCCAGATAGTCCTGTTGCTTCCCTGTTTACATGTGTAGAATAGATGACCCAGAGAGGTAAAGTGAATTACCCAAGGCCACCCAGCTGCAGAGGTTTCTCTGACCATTCTTGGTTACTGAGACACCAGACTGAAAGTGGAGGTAGGTTCAAGCAAGGGTTGTTAGCTCTCAAGCCACCCTGCCTACAAGGTGACTAGGGATATCACCATGTGGAATAGCCTTCCTCTGAGGACCAGAAACAAGCAAAGGTGTTGTGTTGCCTGTACTGATTGTTTCTGAAGCCCCCATTTGCTTATGTATTACCAGGGGTATGTATTACCAGGTGTCTGTGGGTGGCAGAATCCAAGGAGCTACCAGGAAGGTTCTTTGTGTAGATGTGGGAACACTGAGGAATCACCAGTTCTTACCTCTCCTCCTCTTCTTCCTGCCCCCAAGTGGTGCTGATTGGAGATTCAGGTGTGGGCAAGAGCAACCTGCTGTCACGCTTTACCCGAAACGAGTTCAACCTGGAGAGCAAGAGCACCATTGGTGTGGAGTTCGCTACACGCAGCATTCAGGTGGATGGCAAGACCATCAAGGCACAGATCTGGGACACAGCTGGCCAGGAGCGTTACCGTGCCATCACCTCCGCGTGAGTGTTGGGTTGGCTAGAGCCAGGACCTGGAGAGAGTAGAGGCAATGCAGGCATGTGATGTGAGCTTGCAGGGCTGTGTAGGAATTGGGCTAGAACATGAAAAGCTAAGATGGGGGTGAAGATAGAGGGGTACCCCTCCGAGCTGTGGAACCCAGGGGTAGGTCAGTGCCTAGCCTTGGGCACAACACGGCCCTGAGGGTATTACTAGGTGAACAACGGGGGCCTGGCTTAGGCCTCTCCACTCTGCACCAAACCTAGCCTGGCTGCCTTCCCTGTCTTCCTCTTCTGGCTGCTTCTCCCAGTCTTGCCTTGTAGCCTGCTTCCCTGAAGCCTGAAGCCTCCCACCCTGCTTCTTCCTGTACCCCTGGCTGTGCCCTCATCTCATTTGCTGTCCTCTGGACTCCCTTGACATGGCCTGGTTATCTCCCATGCCCTTCATTCCCCAGGGGATGGGAGTGGCTCTATCTGTGGTCCAGACCTGGCCTACACAGTGGGCATTGGAGCTTCTGCCCAGGAATGGCCTTCTCCCTGTACAGCTACTGTGTCCTTCTGTCCTGTTGATGGCCTTTGGGTATCTTCTAGTCCTGGGCCCTAAATTACCTCTTCAAGCTTTCCCATTCCAGAGGTGAATATAGGGTCTTAAAACACGTGGCCTCCTTCAAGGCTGTGATGGCTGCCCCTTGGCTGGGCGCTCTGTTCTGTCCCACGGGGTTCCCTTGAGGCTGCTGCCACCCATGCAGCCTGAGGCTCATGCCTGTGCCCACCCCCCTGCAGTTACTACCGAGGTGCAGTGGGTGCACTGCTAGTATATGACATCGCCAAGCACCTGACGTACGAGAATGTGGAGCGCTGGCTGAAGGAGTTGCGGGACCATGCAGACAGCAACATCGTCATCATGCTGGTGGGCAACAAAAGTGACCTGCGCCACCTGCGGGCTGTGCCCACCGATGAGGCCCGTGCCTTTGCAGGTGAGCTGGTGAGAGACATGCAGGGGAGTGGTGGGACCATGCTCTAAGAGCTACACTGACGGGCTTCAGAGAAGCATCTAGAAGGCAGGCATCCATACCCTCCAGTGTCGAGGCTCATGGACAGTGCCAGCCTCTTGTCCCTGCAAAGTCAACCTGTTGGGCCCACCTTCTGTCTGCAGCCCTTCAGGTCCTGGGTTAGGCAAGTGAGCAGGCGTGTGTGTGTGTGTGTTCCCAAGAGTGGGGAGGGAGCCAGGTACACCCACACCCCCTCACCAGGAGAGAATTCTCTGTGTTCCAGAAAAGAACAACTTGTCCTTCATTGAGACCTCAGCCTTGGACTCCACCAACGTAGAGGAAGCATTCAAGAACATCCTCACAGGTGGGCACAGGTTCTGGGTAACTTTAAGGAGGCGCCCAGTGTGTAGGTACACTGCAGCCCCTGGGCCTTTACTTGCTGCACCTGCCGGTCAGTCTGGACCCTGTTCGGATCTGTCGTGACCCATGGAGTCAGGCACATGGGGCACAGAACTTCTCACCCAGGTCCCCAAGGTAGCCCTCCTAGGCCTGCAGGGGAAAGAGGTAGCCATTGATGTTAGGGAACAAGAGTCCTGGGCTAGAGTTTGGTGTCATGGCACACACCTTTAAGAGGCAGGCAGATCTCTGTGAGTTCGAGGCCAGGCTGATCTGCATAGTGAGTTCCAGGCCAGTTGGGGCTACAGGGAGACCTTGTCTCAAAAAAGACCAAGAAAAAAAGAGTCCTAGGCTAGCTGTGACCAGTTGTGTGCTCTACCTTTGCCTACTTGGGCTGTGGCTGGGAGCCTCAGGAGCCAGCTCTCCCCGCTCCCATTACTGCTTTACCACTTACCGCCCTTATTTGGTGGGGGGCTTGTAGAGGTATGGTGGGGACTTGTCTTATTTTTCCTGTTGCTGTGATCAAATACTGTGACAAAAGTAACTTAAGGGTTTATTTTAGCTCATAGTTCATGGTACTTGAAGCGGTTGGTTACATGGCATCCACAGTCATGAAACAGGGATGGATGCAGACGGCTGCTCAGTTCCCTTTCTCCATTTACAGAGTCCCAGATCCTCTGCTCAGGGAATGGTCCCACCCACAATTAAGATGGATCTTCCCACATTAGTTTGCATAATGAAGATAATGCCTCACAGGCATGCCTAGAGGCCCAGCTCCTAGGTGATTCTAGATTCTGTCAAGTTGGCAGTGTTAACCACCACAGTAGTTTGAATGCACATCCAGCCTGTGTCCTGCAGAGGTAAAGTGGCCTTGGGCAGGACATACAGCTTGCCCACCACATCCTCTCTGTTTTAGAAATCTATCGCATCGTGTCACAGAAGCAGATCGCTGACCGTGCAGCACATGATGAGTCCCCTGGCAACAATGTGGTTGACATCAGCGTGCCACCCACCACCGATGGACAGAAACCCAACAAGCTGCAGTGCTGCCAGAACCTGTGACCGCCCTGCTCCTCCACCCAGCGTGCGTGCACGTCCTTGATCCTTGGCCCCGGCCCTTCCCTAGTCCCCCTGGGACAGGCTGCTCCCATCCTCCAGCTGGCCCAGGAAGAGTAGGAGTGGCACCTGCTTTCCTGCCTGCTCGAGAGAAGCTAGAAACCCCTGCTTATGCACCTGCTCTGGGGTCTCTGCGGGCATCTTGGCAGGGTAGGGAGGTTGGCAGGATGGACAGGGCCAGCCAGAGGCAAGGAAGATGAGTGGAAGGAGCCGGCTTCTCCTGTTTTCCATGGCAGACTTCAAGGAACGATCACCTCCCTCCCTCTGGCCAGCTGGCCCTGCATCCCCACCCAGAACCCTCTCTGGGATGACCCTGAAGAGCCAGGCAGCAGGAGCCAGGCAGGTGGACACCCCAGGCTCCACCTCCCACCTGCACCACCACAGCCAGCGCCAGCACGGCCTCCAGCACTCCTGGGCCTGCACACCCCTGCTCCTGCCTGTAGATTTATGCTGGGAGAAGACCCCCTCGCCCTTCTCTCCCTCCTCCTCTGCACGCAGCGCTCTCCCCCTGCCCATCCCCACCCCCTCTTCTCTGTCTCGTCTCCTTGTCTGGTCAGGAACCTGTTTGCAAGTGAAGCAATATCTCCGTGTTTTGTATATACAACCGCTCTTGTAGCCTTTGGTTTTTGTTATTGTAGAGAAACACAGATTCTTTATACACTTTGTAAGATTTACGCCAAACCCCAGCTCTCGATCTCTTATTCTCCTTGTAGCCCCTGCACTGTTGCCCATTACTAAAATGTATAAGCCAACTTCCTGTACAGAAACCTGCCACCCAGCCTCTGTCTTCTTTCTCTCTACCAGGTGGTGCGCCTGAGCCAGGGCCCCATGGCAAGATAGACCTCCTAGCCCTGGGAAACTTAGTCCACTACCTGCCAAAGGTGGTATGGAGACCCTCTGAACTGATAACAGGCCAGAGGACCCTGGGCTCTAAGTTGCAGAGGGTGAGCCCTCTCTAAGTTGCCCCTGTCGCAGGGAGGGAGGGAAGGCAGTGGCCTGAGGTTTAGAGGAAGAGAGAGAGAGCTATCAGTAAAGCGCTGGCCATGCAAGTGAGAGGACCTGATTTCTGATCCTCCGAGCCCACGTAAAGCCAGGTTAGTGTGGTGAGGTAGAAGGTGAGGACACTGTTCCATGGAGTTCACCTGGCCTATTTGGGGAAGTTCCACACCAGTGAGACCATCTCAAGTAAAAGGTGGAAGACACCTGAGGAACACTAAGTGTATCTGCTGGCCACCCACAGCATGTAGTTTGGATCCTAGGATGAAGGTGCCCCCTGGTGGAAATGGGAGACATGACCATGCCCACTGCTCAGCATTTCCAAATTTTCAGCCACCTCCTCATCTGGGTTCCTGGCAAGGAAGGCCTACCTGGCAAATGCGGGTGATGCCAGCCCTATCAGTTCGCTCTACTCCAGACTTGACACTTGTCAAGGGCCAGTGGGGGAATGCTGATGCTTTGAAAGTAAGCAGCTCTGATTTCCTCCACCTCTTCTCAGGATGCATCTCCCTTGTCCTTGTGGGCAGAGCTGTCATGAATGGGAATGTCTTCCTCTCCACCCCTCCAGGGACCTGGGACACAGTGTCCCTTACAACCTGAGTCTTGCCAGCTGTTCTAAAAGCTCCAGTCTCTGGATAAAGAGGGTACTGAACTCGTAATACCTTGGGGGCTCCTTCCCTCCTGATTCAAGAATGTAGCTTCCTTGCCAGGAGGGTAGACATTCTCAGGCCCATCCCCATAAAAGCTCTGATCGTAACTGGGCATGATAACTCATACCTGTAATCTCAGCACTTGGCATATGAAGGCAAGGCCAGGCTTGGCTATGAAGACCCTATCTCAAAAAGGGTTCAGGGCTGGAGAGATGGCTCAGCTGTTAGCACTGGCTGTTCTAGTAGAGGACCTAGGCCTGATTTGCAGCATTCACATGTTAACAATGTTAGCTCCAGTTCTGGGGTTCCAATGCTCTCTTCTGTCCTCTATGAGCATTGTATGCAAACGCACTTACATCCACACAAAATGTTCATACATATAAAATTAAGAAAAGACAGGAAAAAACAAAGAGCTCTGTGCTACTGGTGGCTGTTTAGACAGGGAAGTTAGGTAAATTCTCAGGTCATGTCACAGGCCAGCAGGCAGCCTAAGCCAAAGTTGCTGATGGGGGAGTGAGGGTGGTATCTGATAGACACAAACAGGAAGGCTTCATGTCTATAGCCCACTCACACTGATGCAGTGGGGATGACTTCCTAGCTTTAGGCAGAACAGAACAGGGTGGGATATATCCTAGGTATGACCAAGGTGAAGCAATGGTCACTGAAAGATTTCATGCAGTTAAAAAGATCATGCATAGGTAAGAAGCCCCAACCTCTCTCAGGGGCTGTTGGCAACCAATGGCTTCTGGGAAGGTGAGAGTCAGGTCTTGAAGGGTGTGGCTCATGGCACATTAACCAGACTCCAATGGATGGATTCATATGGAAGGGCATATGGCGACACAATTGGGTGGGGATAGTAAAGGACTGTGCAGATAGGGGAAGGGATGTAAGTATGATCAAAATACATTGCATGAAATTCGCAAAAATTTTAAAAAAAAGGAAAACAATTGTCAGAGATATCAAGTAGATGGTTAAGCATTGAATCTAGAGTTTAGAAGACAGTGGGGATAGGGATTGATTTTTATGTTACAGACTTTATTAATAAATTTTTTTCTTTTTAAAAATTTTTTTCTGGCCTCCCTAGTCCCAAGACCCCCAATAACACCCGACTCCCACCATCCTCCCTCTCTTGACTTCCCTCCCCCACCACACTATGGTCCCTTGCATGTCCCTCCTCTCCTCCCTGCCAGACACTCCCACTACCCTACCATAACATCTGTTCCCTACTATCCCCCTTCCAGTTCTTTATTTTCCTATACCTCCATGTATCCTTCCCATTTTCCTGGCTCCTAGTGCTTTTCTGCATTTGCGTTAACTTTACTTAGTATAATACTCTCTAGTTCCATTCATTTACCAGAGTCATTGCTGAGCAGGTCTAATAAATTAATAAAACTAATGAGAAAACAGGTGTTTTCTCATACCTCTAGTCCCAGCACTCTCGAGGCAGAGGCAGGCAGATCTCTGTGAGTTCAAGGCCGGCCTGGCCTACATAGTGATCCCAGGCTAGCTGGGCCTACAGGAGACCCTGTCTCAAAAAGACCAAAAAAATAAGGTGGGGGGGGCGCTCAGTAGTTTAAGGTGTTTGTTACCTGATTCCCAGAATCCACAAGGTAGGAGAGGCTAGACTTCCACAAGTTGTCCTCTGACCTCCATATGTGCACCCCCTCACACACACAATAAAGAACATATTTTTGCAACAGGATCACCAAAACCAGGTGTTGGGATGGGGTGGTGGCTCAGTGGTGCCAGTGCCAGCCGGCCTTAGATGAACAGCACCTGAAAGGGGGAGTGAGGACTGAAAGAAAAACAAGAGAGACAGAGAAAGATACTTGGGAGGACTGTCAGTAGAGACTGCAGCCCCGGTTTATTTTAGCTCGGCCTTCTTATACAGAAGAACATCAGAGATCTTAACTCAATTAATTTCAACAGCTGTTTTTCCCACCTGTATCTGAGGGTCAAGGAGCAGTCAAATACTTCAAAGCCTTCTTTGATCTTTTTGTTTACCACTATCCTAAATTATCAGCACATTCCTCCTGACTTGACAGAACAATTCAGTGCTTGTGTGTAAAACACAAACTCTTGAGTCAAGGTGAAAGGTCATAAAGTAAATAAGCAAGCCTGCCACAGCTCGATGGACATAATGGCTGTGCTTACATTAATAGCTCCCAACATCTCCCCCCTTTTTTTTTATTTTTTAAAACCCCAGATTATGCTATATCCAGGACAGAAGGACCGTGCCTGTCTTAGGTTGTCTTCTGCCAGGGCAAAGCCTTACCTGTCATCGGCTCGTAGCTTCCATTAGCTATGCCCTGTCTTAGGTTGACTTTCTCCCGAAGATCTTACCCGTCTTTGACTACCAGCCTCTGTTAGGGGAGGGAGCGCAATCTCATATCATGCACAGCTGCCTTGACTTGCCACAGGCATAAACAACTTTACTGCCACCAGGTGAAAACAAAGACAGGAGGGAAAGCATGTAAGGAGGCTCTCAGCCTTTTTAGAATATCTGCCGCTGTTTACAGGGTAGAAATGTGGAGAAAATTTTTGTTTCTATTATCTCTTGGCAATAACACGTTGACATTGGTACAATATCCACTTGGCGTTTTGAAGCAGGCTGAGAAATTAACCAAGAGTCATTCACAGTCACTACTATCTCTTTTTCCTCCCATATCGCGGGGTGCAATGTTGTGGATCAGGAACATAAATCCAGTATAACTCAGCCACGATCACTTGCGGGAACATCATCATCAGCCACGTTTGTCGCCTCATCATTCTTTTCTACTTCTTTTTCTTTGGCGCTCGTCCGGCGAACCTCACCAGCCTTTCTGGCAGCCACCTGGCTCCATCAGCGTCCTGTGGAAAAACACAAACATGCCCTCTTCCCCAAATTATACAGGGTCTGGGCCATTCCATTGTCCAGTTAAAGGATCCTTCCACCTGACTTGGGCGTAGGTATCCTGTGACTGAGGATCCCATATTCTGTCTGCCGCAGAGCGGTCATTTTTATTCAAATTCAAAAAGTTTAACATTTTTTGTGGCTTCCCCTGTTTGCGCAGTAGCCATAATAAAGCTGAAAATGTATCTATTGTAACATGTACATACCTTTGCCTGCCAAAATCTGAAACATGAGTAATGTCCATTTGCCACATTAAGCTTCAGCCCCCCTAGGATTAACTCCATAATGAGGAATAATTTGTGTTTGAGGACAAGATGAGCATTGCCTCACAATTTGTCTTGCAGC